AGGTAATTTTCATGAACAGCATACATAATATTACTCTGTTTGTGCCGGGGGACTGGACCTTTGGGAAGGACCAGTCTTACCGTAATGTATTTTGGGGTTTAAAAGCCACTGGGACTTATGTTTAGACCCACTGGCCTGGGTCTGGGTTCCTCCTTTTCACCTGATGGCTGGCTGGAGTCCTGTTAGGGTTTCTTCTCTGCTTTCAGGAAGGCCCAGTTAGGATATCCACATTGCTCTAGAGCCTGTCTTGTGTGGGATTTCTCCTTCTGCCTGGCTCCTGAGTTAGTGGGGACGCTGTCTGCTCTGTGGTACAGAGTCCTGATGACTCCTAACTTTTGCTCCAAAGGGTGATGGAAATCAAACTACAAGTACTGGTCTGTGTGGGTGGGTTCGCTGTACACAGCTGTTTGCAAATGTCATTCATCAGAAACTGAGACTTCACAGTCCAAGAAAGCCAACCTGCCATTTTTTACATCTTCTTGTGTGAACTTGATGTATTTATCCACAGAGTTGATGTTGTCAGTTCCTGAGATTTAATTTCAACCCAGGTGTCATCAACATACCTGAACCAGTGACTCGGTGGTGTCCCTGAAAAGGACGTCAAGGCTCTCTTTTCTACCTCCATGTACAGGTTGGCCACAATAAGAGAAACTGGAGACCCCATAACACACCCATGTTTCTGACTATAATATTGCTTCCCATATGTGAAGTAGGTTGACTGCAGGCAGAGTTGCAAGATTTGACACAGTTGTTCTATGGAAAGCGTGGTCCTGCTGCTCAGAGTGGTGTCTGATTTTAATTTTAAACTGACCACCTCTACTGCATCATCAGCAGGAATGCACATAAAGGGTGATGTGACATCAAAAGAGAGCATTGTTTCATTAGTCTCCATGATGATATTCAATTCAATTCAATTCAATTCAATACTACTTTATTAATCCCAAAGGGAAATTATTTTGTTGTTGTAACTCGTTATCCTCATTTCATTAAGAGATGTTATAGATGCTGATGGCTCTTGTAAACATCCATCCCTCAGTGGATCCTAAAAAACTGGCTGCCGATGCCGGCCGATCCATCCACCCAGACTTGGCTGGCCTCTCGGTTCCCCTCGGGCTGTAGGACCACCCAAACGCTGGGCAGAACTCCTCCCAGAGTGATGGCCGCTGCTCCCAGCAGTCTGCCGAGCTCCTCGTAGCTGCGGACAGCCAGCTGTAGGTGCTGAAAGACGATCCTGTCCTTCCACTGTCATGAGCCGTGTTTCCTGCTATTTCCAGAATCTCAGTGGTCAGGCACTCGAGCACAGCCGGCAGGTAGATGAGAATCCATCCACAGAACATCCTTTTCAACTCACTTGAGATTTGGGGCTGTAGTGGAGATATTATTTGAGCTTTGAGATGTTAATCAGCTGCTGTTGGTTGTACAAAACTGCCTTGTTGCCATGGTTACGCATCATAACAAATGTCCAAAGCCAAAAAAGTCTCAGTAAAAATCCTTCCAGCTGCACAGCATCCGATACCAGAGGAAACAATCATCCTAAAAATATGATTTACATCCAGAAAACCAGGAATTAAAGTTTCCAAAAGCAAAATCTCAGAATGAAAGTAACAGAGCTGCTCCAACATGCAGCCACCTTGAGCGGCGCAATTCTAGAAATCCATATAATTGAATGGAATGGTTGCCAGACATTTGGAAACATTGTAAGCGACAGAGTTAATCATGCTAACAATTGGTCTTAAAGGTGCACGTTGTTTGTGAATTTTAGGTAAACCATAAACAGTAGGTGTGGCCTCCCCTGGATACAGTTTGTGGTACAGAATACGACCAACAGCCTTGTCCTGCTCCAAATGCTTCAGGTAATCTATCAACTTCTTCTTGTAGCCACTTCCTGGATCTCTTTTCAGCGGCTCATTAGTGGTTAAGTCACTAAGGAGTGACGTAACTTTCTCATGGTAGTCTTTCTGATTCAAAATCACTGTGTACCTTCATGAGTATCTGACTTAACTTTGTTAGATTGTTCTACCTGAATTATTGAGCATGCATCAGGATATGTATGAGAATATCCATCCATCCTTCCATCCATCATCTTTACCCACTTTTTCCATTTTGGGTCACGGGGGTCACTGGTGCCCATGTCCAGCAATCACTGTGCGAGAGGTGGGAGACACCCTGGACATGTCTCCAGTCCATCACAGGAATACATAGAGATAAACGAGTCAAAAAACCATGCTCTCTCTCACTCACACTTAGGGACAATTCAGGTTACCAATCAGCCTAACATGCATGTTTTTGGCCTGTGGGTGTGTGATGGCCACATCTGCAGCCACACAGTCGGTAACCCCACGTACCAACAATTTTTCACTTTGAGCTTTCATATACAGACCCTTTCCAAAAAAATTGAATATCATGGAAAAGTTGTTTAACTTCCATAATTCCATTCAAAAAGTTCATCTTTAATAAATGATAGATTCAGGGCCACACTTTAAACAATTTCAAGTATTTATTTGTTTATTTTTACATAATTTGGGCTTTCAACTTATGAAGCCAACGAAAACAGGAATTAAAAAAAAAAATTAGTATACTGTGGAGAAATCAGCCCAAATGTCGCAGGGCATGAATGTTTTAAACTGAGTGAGACACACTAATCATCTACTAAACTCAAAGCACCTGCACAGGTTTCCCCAGGTGTCATTAAATTGCTTCAGTTTGGTTCAATTGTCTCAGTTCAGTTCAATATGAGGAAGACTGAAGACATAACAACTGGCCAGAAGACCATCATTGATACCCTCCATAGGATGGGTAAGCCACAAAAGTTCATAGCTAAGGAGGCTGGCTGCTCATAGAGTGCTGTGTCCAATCATATCAATGGAAAGTTTAGTGGAAGGACAAAATGTGGCAGAAGAAGATGCAGCATCAACAGAGATGACCGTGGGCTTCAGCGGACTATCAGACCAAGAAGATTCCAGAATCTGGCAGAGATCCAGAAAGAGTGGAATGAGGCGGGAGTCACAGCTTCAAAAACCACCACATTCAGACGCATCCGGGAGATAGGCTACAACTCTCGGGTTCCTCGGTCCTCTTTTCCAATGAAAGTAAAGTGTGTCTTTCATTCAGAAATTAAGGTCCAAGGGTTTGGAGAAAGAAGGGTGAGGAACAGAACCCATACTGCTTGAGGTCCAGTGTGAAATATCCACTGTCAGTCATGATTTGGGGTGCAATGTCCAGTGCAGGTGTTTGTAAACTCTGCCTTTTTAAATCCAACGTCACCGCAACATTCTGCCAAGGAAATCTAGGCTTCCATAACTCCCAGGCAATGCCACAGGCTGATTGCCTGAATGCCACGTCGCATCGAGGCAGTGATTAAGGCAAAGGATTCTCAACCAAGTATTGAAGACTGACATATCGTTTTGAAAGTACATATTTTGATTGATTTGTTGTGATTCTAATTTATTTCTTTTTTTTCTGCAAAAACAGAGTAGTGTGGGCTGATGTCTTCACAGTATTCTAATTTCTTTTAAATTCCTGTCTTCGTGGGTTTCATGAGCTGGAAGTCCAAATTATGTAAAAATCAACAAATAAATACTTGAAATTGTTTAAATTGTGGGCCCTGAATCTATCATCTATTAAAGATAAACATTTTGAATGGAATTATGGAAGTTAAACAACTTTTCCATGATATTCCAATTTTTTGGAAAGGGTCTGTATTTTTTTATTTGTTTGACAATATTAAAATGCATGGGTTCTAACTGTAGCGTGCACATTTCGTTAACTTTTGTATATTTGATTCTGCCAACCTAATGTGTTGGTTTCTCTCTGTTTTGTGGGGGAGTCCTTTGAACTGGGCTGAAACCATGGACTCTGGAAGACCATGAAGTCTCTTATCTAATTCTTGTATAAGTGCTTTTGCTTTGTGATTTGTTTTTTTGTTAATCTTATGTTTTAGTTATTAGCTATTTAAGTTAATTTTTAAGCTAACTGTTTGTGCTAAGTTGCTTGTTAAATTTGTGAGTGGATGTTTCCCTTCCCTCTTCCCAAGTTGTGTTAGTCTAGTCAGCCAGATATTTAAGTCGTCTTTGTTTGCAGGTCAGTTTAGTTTGTCTTGAGCAGTTAGTTTGAGTTTGTTAGGTTAATTCATGATTTTGGCTTGAGTCTGTGTTTTCTTCATTTGACCTCTTTTAAGGGCCCTGTAACAAATTAGTTTGAATTTAGTTATTTTGGGGTACAATTTCCTTTGAAAATTTACTACTGTGTTCTCATGCTTGACTGGCTTGGTCCCTCTCAGAAAGAAACCGGAACACCTGGAGAAAACTCTCACATGCATGGAGAGAACATGCAAACTCCACCCAGAAAGGCCCCCAGCCCGGGATTTGAACCAGGGTAACCAGCTTGCTGAGAGGCAGCAGCTCTACCAGTTGCACCACTGTGCTGCCATGTATAAGAATATCCATCCATTATCTTTTACCTGCTTCTTCCACTTTGGGTCACGGGGTTCGCCGGTGCCCAAGTCCAGCAATCACTGTGCGAGGGGCAGGGTACACCCTGGATGGGTCATAAGTCCATCACAGGGACACATAGAGACAAACATCCATTCACTCTCTCACTCACATCTAGGGACAATTTAGAGTTACCAATCAGCCTAACATGCATGTTTTTGGTCTGTGGGAGAAAACCGGAGTACCTGGAGAAAATCCACGCATGCAGAGAACATGCAAACTCCACCTAGAAAGGCCCCCGGGACAGGATTTGAACCAGGGACCTGCTCACTGAGAGGCAGCAGCTCTACCAATTGCACCACTGTGCTGCCCTGTATGAGAATATATTAATTATAAAAGGAATGTCTTGTCTTGTCCTTATGCTTTTTAATGGCTTATTGGCAGTGTTAACATTCTATAACTATCAGTAGTAAGGGTCTTAGTATTTTTTGAGTCAGAAGCTGAAAAGTTTAGAAACCAATGGTCTAAAGAAAATTAACAGAAACTAAATTTAATCCTGATTCTGGGAACTCACTTGGAATTGTTCTCCAGATCCTGATAGATGTCATCGACCAACTCGCTCTGGGATGACTCGTGGGCCATGGCCTTGTAGAGTTTACAGGCCACCAAAGCTTTGGCCATGGCTTCTTCACCTCGTTGCCACAGGAACAACGCCATCTTCTGGCGCTTCAGTAGAACCGCCCACACCATCAGCTCATGGAAGGGATACTGGAACCTGCTGACCTCAGGATCGTCCACATCAATGTCTTCCTCTTCCTCCTTCTTCTTATTTTTCTTTCCCTTGCCCTTCTGCCGGGGCTCATCGTCCTACAGGGAAAAAAAACAACAACAAAACAAACAAGTAAAGTGACTCTTCCTCTTACGGCCAATTCATTACAAATACATGTTAGAAAATACACACCTCCATGCCAAGAAGCTTCAGAGCTTTGGGCTGTAAAGAACAAAAGATCAGAGAGTCGATTACAAACAAACAAGTACTTACTCATTATATCCATTATGTAAGTTATAGTCAAAGGGTCACTTATTGTATGAATGCTGATTCAACATTGTCAATAATATTTTTCAGAATTTTTTTGTACATTTTTGTTATCTAACTACTAGTGCATTTTTTGTTTCACTTTAGCCGTTTATGTATATTTAAAAAAACATCATCCTCGGGTTATTAGTGTTGTGACTTTTGGTTTTTGTAACATTTGTACTTTTCAAAATATTTACCTTTACTTGCAAATAATTTGTACACAAATTCATTCATTCGACTTTCAGAGAGATAAGTCACATTGAGCCTCGAAGACTCATTTACAAGTGGGATCTAGTTAGACAGACAAAAAGTAGTGAAACTGGAACACGTAGGAAATGAGGCAAAAATAATCCTATTAAACTTTTTCTTCTTGGCTGAGAAGAAAAACTCTCATATTAAAAAACACCTCACACATAAAGCGCATAGTGACGTAGACATTCCGTGGGGAAGGGGGGGGGGGGGTGACGAGAGCGGTGAGCAATGTTCAAGGATCAACAACAAAGTCCATGCTCGAGTTCAAGAATGCACTGGAGGGCACTGTAAGAGTCCTGATAAGGATGTAATCGTCAGATTACATTTTCTCCAGGCGAATTCAGATAAGATGGCCTTCAAGGCCAGCTGAGAGAGCCAAATTCAGATAAACACACAGTTGTTTTGGGGACAGGCAGAACTTAATGATGTCTACCTTGAGTCTGTGTTGGTACAAATGGTTCCGAAATGTCCAAATTACATGGCCACTCCGATGGAATGTGCCTGACTAAAATCCCTGAGATCTGATCCATTTTGCCCAAAGCATTTGAGTCTGGGTACTCGAGGCATGAACCAAGCCATCATAAAGGCAAGCAGCGTGATCGGGTCCAAATTTGCTGCCGACAACTTCCTTGATTGTAGATAAAACCAGCAACAAGCCGAATCCAAAAAGTAGGAACCAGTTATCATAAATCCAATTAAATATGCGTCCTTAAAATCCACAAATGGCAGCAGAGATAGACACATCATCAAGTCTTCAAGTCGATGAGATATCCAGCCAACAGGGCAAATCGACTCGCCTAAAGCCTGCTTTCTTTTTGTGGAAATGTTATCAGTTGTGTTGAGGGAACAACTGATCAAAACAAGTCCATAATTATGGTTCGGAAGATATGCAAGAGAGGCTCAGAAGCAGTTTCACAGACAGACAGAGCAGCAAAGCAAAGTGGAGAGGGAGAGGAAGGGAAAAGCGTCCAACCTTGGCAAGAGCAAGTGGTGAAAATGTAAATAAACATATAAGTACCATAATTTCCAGACGCTTATTTTTTCAGATGCTTTGAACCCTGCAGCTTATGCAATGCTGTGGTTAAGTAATGGATTGTTTTTTGATGGGCTAACAAGCTTCATGCCGCCAAAACATTTAGCTTCGTCACACCCTGGTGCTCACTTAGCTGCCCAATACACGTCTGTCTTGCGGGGTAGGTCCTTGTGACTAAATGAGACTACCTGTATACTAAATAACGGTTGAAAAAATCTGACCTATGAAATTACCGAACAGGTCACAGTGGATCAATGAAACTTGGTTTCATTTCATTCTCTCCTCCCTCTATGTTGTGCCCCCAGGGAGGGGGCGCAGTGCGCGGGAAGAAGATAAAGATATCAATCAATGACTTCCTGGTAGGCCACTGTGGTTTTTTTTAAACCAGCTGTGTTACCGGCACTGTTCAGAAAAAAACATTTACTGTACATATTTGTTACTGGTACGTATTGTAGCATTCTGCTGTGGATGACTGTCAGTCGCCTGGTCCCAGGGAGGAATTATGGGTAGAATTTATGTTCTATTATTTATCTTTTCAGTTAGCTGTTTAGCATTGTTCTTTTAGTGATTAATCTGTTCTTCTTAGTTTATGTGTTCATTATGTGTTAAATTGTAAAGCGCCATGTGTTGTCATCATTGTATGTTCCCATACAGTGACAAAATTGGTTCTCTGCCTTTAACCCATCGCACCTGTGATACACCCAGATACACTCAGGTGGAGCAGTGGGCAGCTATGTTAGTGCCCGGGAAACAATTAGGGATTAGGTATCTTGCTCAGAGACACCACGACATGTGGGAATGGCTGGGGATTGAACCCTGGGCTTTCGGGTCCCAAGTCGGCTGCCCTGCCTCTATCCCATCTCGGCCCCATTGTGTTGGGTCATTCAGTAGAGTAACCATGGGTGAGGGAGGTAGTTGTCATGAAGACCTGTGGGGTTCACTCTGTATGTAGGTTGAACAAGAAGATCAAGGGTTTAAAACACCATCTGGTGGTTGATTCTTGATCTACAACTAGAGCTGCACATCTCTCTGTAGCTGTGTACTGCCATGCTACAGTATTTAATTAAAATTTTAAAAAATCTTTCTGTGTAAATATCTCATGTTACAACATGGACCCCTGTGACTTATAGACAAGCGCAACCTGTATATGTATTATTTTTCTTTTAAAATTTAGAGGGCACAGCTGTTCCACGTGTGCTCAGTAGTCTCGAAATTATGATAAATATTTTACAACTTTAAGTCCTAGCTAGACTTTAGCTACTTTTCATTGCATTTTGCCTATATTTAGTGTTTATCATTTTGCTTCTTTTAGATGATGTTTAATATTTTTTAAATTTTGTTCCTTTTAGCTTTTAGTTAATATTCTGCTTTGGTTTTTTTTAGCCTAAAAACTCAGCTTTAGCCTTATTAGATAATTAATTCAAAGTCATTCAGCACTCAACATTCACATATAGATCCAAGTTCTTGTTTTGTTTTCTCATCTCAGTCATATAACATTTCAATTAATTATCTGTGCAGTCAACCCAGCTACAGTAGTGATAGATGTTCTCGGTCTTTACTCACTCTCTTGAGACCATACAGGTTGTTGTAGAGCGTCCTGAAATTCTTCCTCGTGTAGTTACACCGATACGCTCCACCCATCAGGAACTCCAGCACCAGTCCAATATCAATTAGTGTGATCTGGTAATCTGGAGGAAGATTTCCCTGAAACACACATCAGTAGGCCTGTTTTAAATTATACAACTCTGAATTACACTAAGGAGCCAGCTTCTACTGACTGATCACTTCCTTTTTCAGAAGAGCAATTTTAATCAAGTGAAATTTGCATTGAAGTTGTAACAGTATCAACAAGATGATCTAAGTCTTTCTCTGTTTCATTACTCTGAAAGATGGAGGAATAAATAATAGAAGTTATTTTTATTTAGTTACAGCATTCTCTCTCTGATAAACTTCTGTTATGATGAAATTTACTTTAAGAGGCTGTGTAGTCAGTCAATGTAAACTGAATGTTTATTAAAAATGGTCAGACAGAACAGGATTATTATGAGATCCTATTAAGTGCTTATTCTGTATGCCTTATGTCAGAACCAGATCAAAAGTATGATGAAGTGAATTAATAGGTTTGAGAATGTTTAAAATACCGGATAATACTCCAAACAGAAGCCAGAAGACTGCCATTTCCTTTCAGACCTCTCACCAGAGGACTTTTTAAGGCTCCACATCATTCTTAGGACCTGCTTGGACAATGTGGCTACCTCACCTGATGTTCTGGCTAAACTGTGGGCCACCAAGGATTTACTAAATTAGTATACTATTGTTCCCTTGTTAGAAAGAAGCCATGCAAGAGTACACCATGGACCATGATGTCTTCAGGACGGCCACAGCTCCTGTAGTTCAGGAGTTCAGCCTCCCTCTTGATCCACATGCAGGAGACCAGCCACCTTTATGAGTCCAGCTCCCCCCACAGAGCTAAACCACCCTCTGGGGCAGAGCCATCCTCAAGGGCTGTGCCACCCAACAGGGCCAAACGGTTCTAAGCTTCACCGACACCGTCACCTACAGAATAAAAAAGTTAGATCTATGCTAACTTCACACCCGAGTGTCATGCCATCTCTGTCTCTGCTGGTCATTTCAGTGAGAATTGAGGCGGATGCTACTTATTCACCAATATCAAAGGGCCTCCAGTTTCTAGTTACCCAGGGTTTCCACTCACCTCTCCCCAAGGGCCGCACACACCTGTGTCAGAGGGTCCCCAGTTACAACTCATCCTAGAGTCCACAGCCCTCAAGCCTTCATGGTCTTTAGCCACCAACTCAATTTTTCCTCTGAGCACACTGTTCTGAACATTAGTCTGACCTTGAGGTGAACTGAGACATCCACTGCTGTGAAGATTAGCAGCTGTCATAAATGTTTCCATACATCCATACACATAGGTGTTGCAACCATTATATGTGAAAGGGACAAGTCCCCCCCACATTAAAAAAAACGTTATTTGGCCCCCCCCCCCCCCCCCCACACACACACACACACACACTTTTACTATAAAACATTAGTTCAGGCGGCGCAGTTTCTCTTTCTTCGTGAACTAATCCATTCCACTTGATCAATAGGTGAATACTCAGGCCAATACAACTCCACTCCAGGTTTTCCTGGTTACCTCCAACTCTAAACACAGCAGTCTGTTGCCACGGTCACAATATACGGTGGTCACAGAATATGGTGTAACTAACACCTGCAGTGTTTCTGTGCGTTCCCTCCTGTCTCGACATAAAACGCGCACAGGTGGAGGAGATGGAGGCAACTCTATGTTGCTCGCTCGCCAGTTTAGTATGCTTAGTGTGGGCAGTTGTTGACCGGTTTATCATAAACATGTATTTATGTTGGGCAGCACGGTGGCACAACTGGTAGAGCTGCTGCCTCTCAGTGAGCTGGTCCTTAGTTCAAACCCCGGTCCAGGGGCCTTTCTGGGTGGAGTTTGCATGTTCTCTCCGTGCATGCGTGGGTTTTCTCCAGCTGCTCTGGTTTCCTCCCACAGACCAAAAACATGCATGTTAGGTTGATTGGTAACTCTAAATTGTCCCTAAGTGTGAGTGAGAGCGTGAATGGTTGTTTGTCTCGTTTGTCTCTATGTGGCCCTGTGATGGACTTGCGACCCGTCCAGGATGTACCCCACCCCTCGCACAGTGATTGCTGGACATGGGCACCAGCGACCCCCGTGACCCAAAATGGAATAAGCGGGTAAAGATAATGGATGGATGGATGTATTTATGTTCAGAGGATGCTTGAGAGGAGCGCTACATCTGTAGCATCTTAGCTTAGCAGTAACTGTGAGGCTGTAAGACGCTGCAGGTGTAAGAGACATTGGTTACGTACTGTAACACCAGATTCTATGAGTATAGGCGTAGCCTTTTAAGGCTGTCGCTGGTAGGTTTTATCCCGTCACGCGAAGCGTAGCACTGAAAACTTTAGTCCACGCCCACCTGTTGTGTGGGCCTCACACGTTGAGAGTGGGTAATCAGCTCCCAAATAGCTTTTTCTTCAGCCATTTAGGAGCCAATGAGGCCCAGCACTTAAAGGGCTACGCCTATACTCGTAGAATCTGGGGTTACAGTACGTAACCAACATTCTATTTCGTATAGGCTTCGCCCTTTAAGGCTGTCCGTGGTGGGTTAAAGGCGGAGCAGGATGTAGTCTATGCCTCACTGGGTCCGTTCAGACATGATATGAAGCACCTGCTTGCACCAAAAAACATTTCATCACTCAGCCTTCTATGTGCGTAATTACGCACTGTGTAATTACACGTTCCATGCACAGGAGCGCCCCGGAGAGAAAAGGGTTTCTGGCGGAGGAAAAAGGAAAAATAGAGGAAGGCTGAAAGCAGTCCTGCTGCCGAGAATGGGAAAGAGCAGGAGGTTACGATTGTAACCGTGTAGCAGTGAATAGAGCAGATCAACAGCTCTTCAATATGAGTGGATTAATAGTAATGAACTGATTAGTAATCAAATGAAATGATTGGTAACAGTAGTCATGAACTGATTGGTAACAATAAAACCAAAACAGCAGTCATATAACTTGTGACTATAATAAATATCTCACACTGTAATTGCATGCAGCCAGATGTGAGTCTAAACAGAATGAAACATGAAAACATTAAGATTTATTCTGTTACGGTGCTAAGGACAGAATGCGCCATGGAACCAGAAACATCACGCAAATAAAAGTGGAAAAATGAGCAAGGCGACGACCATGCAGCCACCCTGCAAATATCCTGCATTGTCATACCATTATGCAAAGCTGTCGAAGATGCAATTCCTCTGGTCGATTGCGCCCTGAGGTTCTCAGGAGGCTCTAAACCTGATGCTCTGTAAGCTTCAGAAATGGCCTCACACACATAACGGGCGACCTGCAGAGGCTTCTCTATAATGTACAAACAGAGGTTGAGTCTGACGCAGTGTGGCCGTGCGTGTTATGTAACATGCCAACGCACGCACAGGGCAGAGGAGATGAAAAGATGCTTCTTCTTCTGATTTGTAAGGGGGAGGGAAAAACCCTACTTTCTCCATGCACCAACGCTGAAAAGCTGTCCACTTTGATGTGTACAGCGCTTTGGTGGAAGCAGCACGTGAGTTTTGGATTGTGCGCACCACTTCCTGAGAGAGACCCATCTTCTCTAAGTGGATCCGCTCAGCGGCCAGACCCAAAGGTGCTGGTCTTTTTCTGGGTGACTCCTGATCACTCCTCCTGCCTGGAGGAGAACATCCTCCCTCCACTGCAGTTTCCACGGTCGACCCGATAACAGACATCTCAGGATTGGGAATCACGGGGCGCTCATGCGCTCGGGGGCTACCAGAATAGCTGACAGTTCTTCCTCTCGAACTCGGTTCAGAAACCGTGATATTAGAGAGACTGGAGGAAATGCGTAAAGGAGCATTTTGGGCCACGGGCTGTGGGCAAAAGCGTCCACTCCTAACGGTGGGTTGTCCCATGGGCTCAGGGAGAACCATAGTTGACACTGGGCGTTCTCCCATGTGGCAAACAGATCCACTGCTGCTCTCCCAAACCGTTTCCAAATCTGAGAAATCAGCTCGGGATGGAGGCTACTGTCCCTGTTGTGCGGACCGCCCCTGGACATTATGTCCGCTCCTCTGTTCAGGATGCCGGGGATGTACAAACCAGATTCCAAAAAAGTTGGGACACTAAACAAATTGTGAATGAAAACTGAATGCAATGATGTGGAGATGGCAAATGTCAATATTTTATTCGTAATATAACATAGATAACAGATCAAAAGTTTAATCTGAGTAAATGTAACATTTTAAAGGACAAATATGTTGATTCAAAATTTCGCAGTGTCAACAAATCCCAAAAAAGTTGGGACAAGTAGCAATAAGTGGATGGCAAAAGGAAATTGAGCATATAACGAACAGCTGGAAGATCAATTAACACTAATTAGGTCAATTGACAAAATTATTGGGTATAAAAAGAGCTTCTCAGAGTGTCATTTAAAATGGAGTGTGGCAAAATGGAAGACTGTTCTGTGGTCA